TATCTGACATCTTCCCATCATAAAACAAGTTTGAAATGCAACATAAAAAGAATGTTCTTAGCCTCAAGGAAGAACCCTCCAAAGTGTGGAGTTGGCTAACATTAAAAGAGTTGGGCAGAGATGCACAGGAGTGTCTTTCAGGGCAGATTTTTTTTTTTTTTTTAATCTATGGAGGTTAAGTCTCACATCTGCCACATACAGCTGACTTGTGGAGCTGACTACAAACAAAATATCACCTCAGAATATTTTCACATCCAAGGTGTGATCTCAGGATTTTATGTACCTTCTTTTGGGGCAAGCAGGATTAGCCCTATTTTATAAACAGGGATTCTGAAGTACAAAGAAATAAAAGGGTTCTAGAATTTAAAAGTGACTTGAGTGTCTAATTTTTGTTTGTTTGTTTTTTTAACGTGGTAAAAAATTGAGGCCAAACATACGTTTTGAAAATCATTCAGAGTAATTCTGAAAATGTCTGATTTAAAATTCTGAGATTTTGATCCTGGATTTTATTCCAAAATTTGCAAAAACCTCTTCATCTCCTGAATATACTGAATTATTTCCTACAACTCATATTGTTTGCAACTTAGTTGCTAATCCATTTTACAGCTACCTTGTAAAGTAACCTCTTTAATGCATTTAAGAAAAGTGTTTTGGAGTAGTTTTTATTTACTTATACCTGCATATATTAATAATGAAGTTGTTTTGCACTAAAATATTGCTTTGTTTTAATTATCATCCTAATGCACAGCTTAGTTAAGATCTAAATATATAACTTGAATTCAAATGCAGCTGAAACCAAAGTAGAGTAGCTATTCAATTCTTTAAATAAATGAAATTAAGAATTACTATACAATCATATAGTAATCATCCTCAGCTACATATCATATTCATTATTAATACATTCTTTTTTAATAGAAGTACATATTACTAAACAGCATAAAGGAGATAATTATATCATCCCAATAGTAACAAAAAGTGACAAAATTAATTCAACTGAAAATAATGTATGGCAGTTATGACTGATAATTTAATAACATCTAAACAATAACTATAAAATATTTTTAAATGTTTATAAAACCCTAAAAATCTCAAAAGCTTAATATTTATTTCAGTAGCGTGAGTCCAATTTTGTAGAGCCCAAACAATGAAATAATTTATCTTTATTATTGCATGATTAAAAGTATTTTTTTCAATCCTCTTTGGACGTATAAAGGGGAAAAAAACTTTCAGATAAAGAATTTGGGAATTTTTAATTCATATTTTTTTCTTGTCTTTATCATAGATGGGGCAAATGTTTAAATATCATGGGGCTCAAAATATCACTTATAACATGAAACAACAAATACAAACAATTTGTAATAATATAGACGAGGAAACTGTATATAATGTTAAACATCATGAAAATTAATATACTCAGTTTTGATCATTGTTTTCTGCTTTATCTCCCTTTAATTTATCTCAAATTATATAATAAACACTATTTATACTGAAGAGTATAAAACTATGAGTGATGTGCTCCGATAAAATATGAAGAGTATTTAAAAAGTATTAGCCATTCTATGATTTTGAATGTCCACAAATTAAAGTATTTCCCTGAAAACCACTGTATACATTAAAGTACTAAAAACAGTGATGGTTTTTAACTCCTCTGACCACTGCCATGCCGCACTTAAAACCAGAACTGCTGTTTTACGCATCTGCTGTAAAAACAGACCACTCATTTGGGCACGTGACTTGTTTTGAATAGCTTCAGTACTTATTGCTGTCAATGCCTCAATCAGCACATAATCCTTAACCTCAGCATTTTACAATTCGGTGATAAATATAGCAAAAGATGGCTTTTGAAGAACATTTAGGAATTAATCAAGAAAATGTCTATTTAAAATAAATTGCTAAATTTATATAACACATTACCTGATAGTCAAATTATATGCTCCAAATGAAAACCTTTGTATTCAGCTGACTTACTAACATTGAAATATAGATACATTAGTAAAATATTCCATCACAGTAATAAGCATCTTTAATTCACTGGAAGTCACTTTTTTTATTTGGTCAAGAGCACATATATGCTATATATTCATACAATATATATGTATATATAGATATATAGATACAACTTTACTCTTATCTGATATTTGTATAATGATGTCAACATATACTAATTTTCTTTCCAATTATATTTAATAATGGAATAAAACCAATAAAAGCTTATAATTTCCTTTTTTACAATGAATTATATCTTTCAATGATTAATTTCTACCTTTTTAACTTTAGTATCTATAAGAAAGCATTAATTTTAAAACCATTATTTAAACTAAAAAATACTAAAAGTACATGATTGACATTCATTTTATGACACATCACTACTACATTTTCTTTATTCTTGGTATCAAAACTGTTACATAGGGTTAGGAAAGTGGAATGTCACAAGATATTCATCAATTTAGCTACTTATTCAACAGCAAATGAAACTTTGAGAAACAGCTCCTCTTGCCATTTCACGCCTTTCATACCCATTAATTTATTACCTGATATTAAGTACCATTTACTACAGAAGAATCAGAAACAAGGAAACCATTTTTGGAGATTATAATGACAAGTCAGAGAGTTGATGTGCCATATTTTATATTTTTTATGACATTGGAAATACAAATTTCTCATTAAGGGTCAATATCAATAGAGCCTGTATGAAAGTTGCAAATATCTCATTAATAAGATTAATTAGTGTTTAATGTTAGCTATTCCAGCAAATATTTTAGATGGTTATTGTTAATTGAATTAGCAAAATTGAAGAAAAAAATCATTGTTTTCATTATTTTATCAATATTGAAATGGGAATTTTACATAATAGTGTATTAACTACTAATGTTAATAAAATCTCATTTCATATCAAGGGTTGGAGAAATAAGCAATCTAAATAGGGAAAAAAGTTTCATACTCAAACTGCCCACCTACTTTTTTTCATTGGAATGACAAAACATGATATACTTTAAATCAAAGTTACATCCCTATTAGAATGAATGACAGAGATCAACAGCTAAATGAAAATACGTCAGCATTTTCCCTCAAAATTCCAGTCCACCCAAAACCCATAAGCATCTTATCATTAAAGTTTAGCAACTGGTAATGATTATATGTCATAATGAAAAAGCAGATTACTTACATATTTCACAACTAACCACTTACTGTGTAAAAAGGAATTAAACTTTGTTAAGTATAAGAACAATATTTAATTAGCATTACTGTATACTGTTGTTGTCCACAAATGGACTACTGAAACACTTTCTATGTGTGTAAGGTACATGGTGTTCATGGGTGATGACCCTTGAAATTAAGAATATTAATATTCCGAGGTGATGCGCAGGGCTAACTGAAAAAGTGTTATATCAATATCATGAGGAAGGCTACATTCTATTGTTAAAAGTTTAATTACAGAAGCTGTTTTATTTATTAATAAAGAAGGAATTCAACAATATTGAATTTCATCAACGTTTTGTGAAGGCTGTTTTGCTTTATTGCTCACCAAGAAAGATAGTTATTTTGACCCATGTTAAGTCATGAGCGACGCACATACTAATGGATCACATGCTAAATAAAAAGAAAACACACAACACTACAGGGTGTTTTGGATACAGAGGAAAGCTTTTAGCAACAAACTGTTATCAGCAGACTGTGAAACTAAATGGACACGCTTAATAACTCTGCCTGTACACCCCACCTCACCACCTTAGCAACAGGGGAGAAGAAACGGAGACATTTAAGTTTCCACAGGGTAAAGAGCTGTTGCTAAGCACAAATAACGACCCAAAATATAGAAAACTGCAGCTTGTTTTTTGATAGCTACTTCACAACTTTAATGACTTAATTGGCCCAATTCAATATACACACCCAAACCAGATAAAAGGGAAAAAACAAATCTGTCAGAAACTTGTACCTACTCTCACATGCCACAAAAAAGCAGTTACCTTTTATCCACCTCAAGCCAAATCAACCCAAAGACCAATTGTGAAGGATTATTGTCTCTTCTTCTTGACCCCTCTTATTCTCCTTTACTTTTTATTTATTTATTTATTTATTTAATTTATTTTTTACATTTCACAATGTCATTGACTAGGATCTTAAAACAACTACTTACTTAAACCCCACAGTCTCTGGTGTCTTGTAATACCAGCCCTATAAAGATGGGAAAAAAACAAACAACAAACCCCTCCCCTACCTGCTTCCCTGCGTCCCCGCGGGTCGCACGCCTTACCCGTTCTGGGATCTTGCTCTGCCTGGTACTTACCTGCTGCTCCCCGGGCTCCGGAGGTTTCACCAGGTGCTTATCCTTGTACAGAGACCAGAGACCGATGTTGGGCAGGAATATTAAAGCCACCGTGAATAACAAAGTCATCTGCAGAAATCTCTTCTGTTTCCTCTTCATGGCAAATGACAACAGAGAAGAAAAGTTAAAGGAGATGGTTCCCTGACAGCTTTTTGTGTTGAATGCAAAAGTCCTTTCCTCTCCCCTGCGAAGCACCAGAAACTGAGGAGCAGCTAAAAACTTTTGTTGCCTGCTCAGCACCAAGCTGCACGGTTCAGAGGGAGTTGGGCATCTGCAGAACAAACGCACAGTTACTTTCCCCCCAGAAAACTATGACGAAGGCATTATCTATTGGCTTAGAAGTAAATGACTTGAGTGAGGAAATCATTAAGCCTATCGACCTCCATTAATATAAAGCAATGGAGTACATATGATTATTTCATAGACTACTCATAAGTTAGGAAAAGTCAATAGCATGCTTAGATACTCAAGAAAACAGGAGTTTGGCTGTTTTCCCCCCTTCCCCTGGCGGGCTGGACTGGGGAGGAGTGGGTAAGTAGCTAGAACTGCGTGGGAGGCAGTGGCTCAGCCCCAGCAAGTGTCAAGAAGTGTCCGCTTTTTGACATTGGAACGTCACCTTACTCATCTTCCCCTGCACACCGACTGCTGCGTTCCCCTTGGGATAACCCACCTGAACTCAAGTTCAACTCGCTCCGATGCCAGCGTGCTGGTGGGCTCAATGGGGACGCGGAGACGCGGGATCCGGGGAGAACTCCTGTTTGGATAGAGGTCCGCAAACTCCTAGGTGCTCAGGCGCTTGTCTGAACGCTCCTCCGCCGGCAGGGGCTCAGCGCCTTGGGAGCCCGGGGCGAAGGCGGCTACAGATGTCGGCGGAGTGCAGTCAGGAGGTGGAGGCACGGACCTCCCTGTCGCGCAGCCCTCGGAATGCGAGCCTCCGAGAAATGAGCGCTCTGCCCATCAATCTTTGCCCTTCCTTTGGTGACGCTCTCACGCTCCGCCGTTCATGTTACCATTCTTTTCCCGCAACTGAACGAACCCAGAGAGACGTCACGAGCCCCCAAACGGCACCGTCTTCAATCTCCGCTCCGGGGACGGGGACGGCGGGTGGCTGCACCGAGCCTGAGCTGCGATCGCAGTGCGTGGAAGGTGCTGGGCAGGGCGAGCAGGCAGCGGAGACGCGACGCGCTCGTCCTCGGCCGCCCACTCCGCTCCCGGTCGCCCGCCTTCTGCCGAGACAACGCCGGTGTCGACCACGTGGCGGGAGCCCGGAGCCCGGGAAGGGGGGCGGGCCACCTGGAGGGGGTGGGCAGTTCCTCCCAGCTTCCAGATCCTATATAAACAAATCCTGGGCGAGGAGGCGAAGACGCTGCGGGAGGAGGACTTCAAGCTCCCAGACCACGCGGATACCCGCTTTCTCTGCTAGGGCTTTTTGGAGCAACTTCGGACCAGCAGAGATACCAACTCCCCGGCTCATCTCACCCAAAAGGCGCCAGGCCAGAGATTCCGTGGAAGTCGCCGGCTGCTGGCGGATCTGCTCCGGATTCCTCCATGGTGCCGGCCGGAGCGCGGCGAGCCGGGGCACGGTGGCGGCAGCCGGCTGGAGGCAGAGGAGGACCCAGGTTGGGCCGGTCCCGCCGAAAGGGGACTCCCTGAGCCTCCTGCCCCGCCGCTCAGGCCAGGTACGTGGTGGGAAAGGCGGAGGAGGAGGATCCCGAAGCGAGGCAGGGCTGAGGCTCAGGGTTTTCAGGCAGCAGCTTCGGAAGCGACACCGTGGAGACCCGGGGCGGCTATACTTGGGTCTGCAAACACCCGGGGCCCCGGTTAAGATGTGGCAGTGCCACGCCACTCCACCCACCCGCCCTCCCGTCCACATCCCGCTCTCCTTATCACTGAAACGGCGGCTACCTGTCCCTCTGACCTCCCACACTCCTCCCACGACACCCTGAAAAAATGTGGGGATCCAGATGAGTCTGGCAGAAGGGAATCCTCCCTCTCCCCAACATACAGATGCACCAACGCCCTTTACCACACACGCACGAACCTGTGGCAGCCTCTCCAAGAGACCTGCGCACCTAGCACCATGCACTGGGTCCTCTCGGAATCTGGGAGCTCAGAACTCCAGAAGGAATGGGGACTTAGATGAGGCGACAGACATGCGTGCATTGCCCGCTGTATCAGCCTGCCTAGAACCAAAAAGAAACGCCATGGTCATCTCTTTGTTACAACCGAGATGTGATGCCCACATGCTTGGGATGGACGAGACTGTGGGCTCCAGCACAGAATTTTCTCTTCCTCCCTCTCTTCATCCCTCTCCCTCCTGCCTTGTCTCCTCCCCCTCCCTCTGACTCCCACTTCTACTCTGTCGCTCCATGTCTCACTTGAGAAAGACATAGATTTGAGTGTGAAGAGGTATGCCTTCAACTCCTCATTTATAAATTTTAAATGTATTTGAAAAATATACATTGTGCGACTGCATGAATAAAAAGCTTTGTGACGAAATATTTGTGTTTGTGAATCACTTGCGTTTCAAACAAGTACATAAACACATTTAATAAATGTTTTTGAATGTATCCTTTGTATCAGGACCAATTACCTTTCAATTTTACACAAGTGCAACTTCAGAATCTAGAGAGCAAGGGGCATAGTTTCTCAGCGCACGAATACACACACACACACACACACACACACACACAGCCTTTTTGTACTCTGCATTTTTAACCTCATTTTTCTCTCTTAGCAAGTGTAGTAGAAATATGGACTCTGGGAAGCAACACACTCGAGACTTTGCTGGGAGGACTGTCTGGTCCCCAGTGAAAGGTTTTTGGAAAATTGTTTAAATATGTTCAATATTTTATCTTATAGTTATTAACACTTAAGTAAAAGAACTCAAAAGTGCACTTGGGATTAATAATCCTTCACATCTTAAATAATAGCAGTTTCTCCCTACTTTAAAATAATAAAGTCCTTGATCACAAATAGACATATTACCTTTCTAGTTACTACATCCAGGATTCGAACTTGAATTGTGCTTCATTAGCGTTACATTAAATAGTCTTACAAATGATATGCAGTCCCACAATGTTGTTAGTTTCAGTGGATGGACATAGTAACTTACTTTCCACACAAAAAACATCCAGAATACATGGTAGAGGATGGAGAAAATTATGTTCATCCCTGCTTTTACAGTGTAGTTCCAGGTAATCACTTCTGAATTTTTCTAGCTGTTAAATGTATTTATTTGATTGAGATCATTTCCTTCAATCTGGCCTTCTTTTATAACTCCACATTTACATTTCCAACAGATGACAATACTTCTAACTAAATTGATATTTTAGGTCGACTTTACAAAAAAAAAATTAAAAATAACCTCTAAATGATAGTTAATGCCTTTGTTCAGATAATCCAGATTAAATGTATACACACACACACACACACACACACACACACACACACGCACATTCACAAACACATTAAATTGGTTATGAATATTGGTTTAATCAAAATCCTTATATCTTTAAAATTCATCTGATACCCTCTTACCCCTATTTGCTCCTCCATTTTGTTATGATTCAATGGGCAACCTCAGGTAATGAGTCCCATGTACCTAACAATGTGCCAATAGATACAGGGACACAGAAAGAAAATAGAGCAATATTTGTGACCTTGAATAACTTACAGTCTGATTGAAAATGCAATATAAAGGCAAATGGAATAAAGTACAAAAACTCAACTCTTTGTACTAACCTTTAACTAAGCCAAGTCTAAATGCTACCTTGAAAGAAGCAGAAAGATATTGCTTTAGTTACCACTCTACTTCAAAATTTCATGACTTAAAACAACTATTTGTCTATCTCTTATATTTCTGTGCACTTGAATGGACTCTGCTGGGTGGTTCTCCTTCAGGTGACATAGGCTGGGACTTGGAGGTTCAATATGGCTGAGCCAAGATGGCTCCCTCATTTGCCAGCAGTTGGCATGCAGTGTCAGCTGGAATATCATATGGGGCACTCAGCTGGAGCCCCTCAGGTCTGCTTTACATGGCCCCTCCACATGGCCTGAGCTTCTCCAGCATGATGGTTGGGATCCAAAAGGGAACTTTCTAAGAATCAGTGTTTTAACAGGGAGAAAACAAAAACTGCCAAGTTCTTTTCAAGGCCCAGAATAGGTACAGCCTCAGTTCTGGAATAGTCACAGAACTAGCCAGATTCAAGGACTGGAGGTCAAAATAGGGGGATGCAATTGACATCTCAATGAGAGATTTGAGGAAGAATGTGTGGCCATCTTGAATCTACTATGGATATTTAAAGGCATATATAGGTAGGAATTTAAAGATGGCTTAACCAGATTAGACAGTGCATACTGGGGAATAGTGGGGAAAGGTTGTGAAAAGTTGAGTCAAATTATTTGATTACTGCAAAGACAATGCATTGACTTTGTTTTATCTTTAAAATAGGTTTATTATTTTATTTTCCAGTAATAAGATAAATAAGTACTAGCAATATAATGTACAACAGTATGACTATATTTAACACTGCTGTGTAATACATAGGTAAAAAGTTGTTAAGAGCCTACATCCTAAGAGTTCTCATTACAAGGATAATTCTTTTTCTTCTCTTTCTGTTGTATGTATATGAGATTATGGATGTTAACTAAAGCTTTTATGATAATCATTGAACAATATAGGTAAATCAAACTACCATGCTGTGTACCCTAAACTCATGCAGTGATGGATGTCAGTTACTTCTCAATAAAATTGGAAAATAGGTTAACATTTTTAAAAACTTGATAACATGATTTGAAATTAATTTGAAAGAAAAACATTTACTCATGATATTTCCATATTAATGAATATTTTAAAACTCACTAGCTTAAAGCTTTATATGTGAAAAGATAATACCAGGAGAAAGTCCTGTCTCATAAGCCAAAGAAAGGTCATCAGCAACAATCACTGAGGTTGTATTTTCACCCAAACACTATAGAGTCCCAAATTAATAAGCATTTGTTGATAAATATAATAAGACTGCAAGTAAAACAAATAAAAATATTTTTTAAAGTTATACTAGTACATTAACTACATCTTTAAGTAGGTATGTTGAAATTTATCAAGAAAATGATAACTTGTTCTACCTTGAATTTTAATATAGAAAAAGAAGGTTATTTCTGCTTGGACTAAATACTTTGTAACTGGACAAGTAAGTTCTTTAGGCTGTTTAAACTTTTGGTAAACAAATTTATCTCTAAATATGTTTGTTCCTATACCATGATTTAAATATATTTTCTTTCCCTATATATTTAGCTATAAAATGTTTATTTAGTACTTACTATATGCCAGGCAGTTATATAAACCTTTCTTAAGCATTAATTTTAAAATTATGCTATTATATAGGTTCTATTATTATCTCAACTTAATAACTTAGAAAAATAAGGCAAGAAGATGTTAAGAATCTTGCCCAAATAAATGCTAGTGAGTTAGGGTAGGAATTAAAACCAGGCATTTGCTCCAGATTTCAGACTACAGTAATCCAAAGAAGACTTGTATTTTGTATCCAGGCCATAGCAGTGGAGATAATGAAAAATGGTTAGACTCAGAATATTCTGTGTTCTACGAAACTGCACTGAAGAGTTGTTGGGATGAGTGTGGGGTGTAAGAGAAAGAGAGAGCCCAAGATACTCCAAATTCATGGTCCAAACTCTTATAAGACTGGATCTGTGTTTCACTGAGACGGGAAGACCTTAGGAGAAACAGGCTTGAGGGAGAAGACCAAGTATTTGGTTAGACTTACTCCATTGACATGGTTAGTGGTAGAAATGTTGAATAAGTATTTGGATTTAAGACTTTGGGATCTGACAAGCTTGGAGGGGTGTGGAATCTAAGCTGGAGGAATAAATATAGAATTCCTTAGAGTATTTAAAGCCATAAAATGCTAAGAGAATACTAAAGGAGTGCAGATAGATAACAGAACAAGCAAACCTGCTCCAACAATAAAATCTTGGGGATATGACAGAAAAAGGCCTTGAGAGAGAGTGGTCAGTGTGCTTGGAGGAAAACTGGAACAGTCAAATGAAGAACCTGTCTCAGAGAAGGAAGTGATCAACTCCATTCAATGAAATTGATAGGTCAAAAAGGATAGAGTTAGAAAATCACCCGTGGATTTAACAATTGTAAAATTTCCAGGCCGGCCGAGTGGCTCAGCTAGTTAAGAGCTCGCTTGGGAGCACCAGCTCTGAGCAGCAGGGCTGTGGTTCGGATCCCACATATGAGGGCCAGTGACGCTCGCCCTCTACAGCTAAGATGAACAACAGCTCAACCTGGAGCTGGGCTGCTGTGAGTCGCTGGCGATGGCGTAGGCTGCAGCAGGGCTGCAGTGGGCTGCCGTGAGCTACGTGAGTGGCTGGCAGCCAGGGTGAGCTACCGAGAGAGCCGCTGTGAGCTACGGACCAATGACCGGCGACCAATTGCCTCACCTGGGAAGAGCACAATGTTCATACCAACATGGGCCAGTGAAGCGACGTCCTCCACAACTAGACTGAAGAACAAAACAGCAATTTGTCTACCTGTCTGTTCTCCTTTCCTGATTCCCCAACGCTGTTACCCTCCCCCAATTCCCCAATAAAATCTTTAAAAAAAAAAAAATTCCTGGGCTGGCCAACTGGCTCAGTTGGTTAAGAGTTGGCTTAAGAGTGCGAGCTCTGAGAACAGGGTCCCTGGTTTGATTCCCATATGGGCCAGTGATGCTGCACCCGAGCTGAGCTGTCACTGAGCTGCCAACAGGTGGCAGGATGGCTCAGCTAGTGTAACAAGATTGCCTGTTCCATGGTGGGCTACTCCCACTCATAACTAAAGAAACAAAACAAAAACAAACAAACAAAAAATTTTCTTATCCCACTGGGAAGTAGGAAAGGGTAGCAGCATTAAGTAAGGCCAAAAGTAGTAGTTTAGACACTAGAAAGGATGATCTCTACAGAAAATCTGATAATAAAGTTTTAATTAACATAATTATGTTAAGCACTTAATGACCAAAGCAGGGAATACATTTAATTTTGAGCTATACAAGTGTATTTATCTCTGAAAGCAATTATCAAAAGCAAATGAAAA